TTTTCTACAAATACAGTAAGAAATGTTCAAACCGTGTAACAACTATCCTGAGAAACAATCTGTACAGAATATATTAAACTTGTTCGATATCGCATAACAGCTTAGTTAGCAAAAGAACGCCTCGTGATATTTACACCTACTTATGTCACTACATCGCTCACTTTCTCAATTACTTTGCTTATTACAAATTATCTTAAGAGTATGTGTTATTAATATCATTACGTCAACACCTCGTATTTTTACTTTTATATTTTGATTAATAATACGTAACCTTGGCTCATCATCTTTGATAAAGGACTATATTCTCCTTTCAATTTTCACCGAATTTAAATTGTTATTGACGACATCGTTACTATTAATATTTTACAATTGATATTATACGGTGTCCATAATTAACACTTGCAATGTGCAACTCCTCCTGTATTTACATTTCCTAATTAAAATCTTTTACACGTCTATCGTTTCTTGTTATAAGTAATATATTATTATATTATGACACTCATATTATTCCTCATCGATTTTTTTTTTTTTTTTTTTGGCATAGGAACCTTTCCGACGCACGCATTATCGAGCTTCTTTCTAATCAACTTCTAATACTGATCGTTTTTTTAATTATGCGGATACAATTCGTATTTTCAGTCGCAGGCCTAACAATACTTTTTAATGTGGCATACAAACACGTCTGTATATGTGTAATCTTGGTGGAAAAGATATAGCGAGATCATAAAATTCACCAATTTACCAAAACTGGTCATATCAGAGGTCTATTGATTTTACAGAAATTTAAAAAGACCGCGGAACAAATTCTCCTTTCATAACAGCAAGTTAATTTTTACTGGACGTTTATAAGCAGAAGTTTTAAATATCAATATATAAACTTCGAATTAAGTTATATTATTATTATCAATCAATGTATTTACTTGACGTTTTAATTTATTAATTCTACTATATCTCTTTCATCAAAATACGTGTCGCATTTGAAAATCACCCTGTTTGTCAACAGTTAGAAAGTAGCAGTGTTAGTTGACATATTGCTTCTTTTGTTACATTGCATGTAATCACAAAGACGTTTGCGTTGAAATATTATATCACTTCAAGCTTTGATAGCTCTATCTGTTTTATAGCTAATGTTTTAATGATTCATTCATAATGATATCCGCTGTTTTATAATTATTCATTTGAATTCACAAATTGTAATTGGAAATCTCATACTTGTTAAAAATTTCAGTAATTTCACTTGAAATAGTTGGAATACAAACAAGTAATTTTAATAAGTAGAATAATACTTGTAGCTGCCTGTATATTTTCCTTTTCCATGTATATTCCAATAGATGGTTATGCAACATTTCATACAACATTAATAAAATCATCCACTTTCCTCAAAAGGTAGCTACGAATGTTTCAAGACACAAAATCATGTCCTGTTACATAAAATGCTCCTACAAAATCGTATAAATTACGAATTAATACATAATTACAGATCTTTATATACAAACATACAGTCTCGTCATGGAATGGTATGATAATATATATACGTGTGTGTCATTTAGTTTAAATACCCTTATAATTGTTTCTTTATACTTATAATACAACCATTAGACTAAAATTTCACATTACTGGTGGGCATTGAACAATGTCAACGATGACGAAGAATGAACGGTATTGTTAAAATTCAACAATTGAAATTGCCAAAATTCAATTTGGGCAAGTTCGAGAAATATAAATGCTATTTGTAAAAAACGGTTTCAATTTGTATAATGACCGCGTATCAAATACCAGAAATAGATTAATAATTAAAATGAGATGAGATCAACGAAAAAACGATCGAAAAAATAAAGAATAAGCATGATGATCGCTATTTCGTTTGCTATAAATTTTGAGAGCATAAGCAGACTTAAAAATGACGTGTGAACAAGATGTTTACAGAAAGAAGCTCAGTTCAACGCGTGACTGTTTCTACGTCTTAGGAACACCCTACTGTTAACTGGATAAACTCTAGTTAACAGTATTAATGAGCTGCCAAGAGCTAATTTCACAGGAGCTTGCTGACCACCAGGTAATCTAATGAAAACGGTAGCAACAGCAGCTACCCCGTCATCAGTAGGCTCGACTGCCACTGGTCTAACATCGCTGTGAAAGCTAACTAATTTATTACGTCTGCTTTTTCGTTGGGGTGAATTTGGATTACAATCGTTACCATCCCGGTCATAAATGATGGTGGCTGACGCGAATGGTCTTTTAGCCATGTGCAACATCTCAACAACATGTCTCCTCCGTGCTCTTCGAACATCCGCCGCCTGTTTCGTTTTCCATGCGACTACGCAACCGGCTAAGAATAAAAAGAAACAGGAGAAAAACACAGAAAAAAAAACGAACAAATCAATGTGCAATTGATCCTGTCGAAAGAAGATCATCCCGTAAGCAGCTCGACCGCTAATTTCTGGATGAATGGGATCAATTGCCCTTAATGCGATGTGAAACTTCGTTTCATGAAGTTCATGTTTGTCTTGCGGCAATGTTAACACTAACCGATTCGTGAGGTTCCTAACAACCAAGAACGTATTTCTGTTCTCAATTGTTAGGAACGTTGCCAAACCTTCTGCATAGCGTTCCATCACAATATACTGAGGACCGGTATTCCAAGTGGGTTCGGTAGTAGTACCGTTCATAGTGAACGAAAACGTATTGTGAGGATGGAATTCAACGATTCTCATTCGACTGCGTGTTCGTTCGTCTAACCACATATTACGTGGATCCTTACGCCACATAAATCTGCTATCCAATTCGACCTATATGCAATTTCTAGTTAGAAAATAGTCTAATATTTGACGCCTTATAAGTAGAAGAAATATTTTAAAACCATACATCTTGATATCCAGTTGTCGAATTTAGTATAACAACAAAAGAATCATCCCGAGGACTAAGAAATAGATCCAAAGCTCCTTGTGTTACATCCACCATAACTCTAATATCAACGTTCATAAAACGAGGTTGTACCATATAAAACACAGTTTGACCGGGATTCAATGGTTTCGGTTTCATTTTACACTCATCTGTAATTGGTGAAAATAATTAATTTTTATATTCAAATACGCGAAGATTAATAATAAAAAAAAAAAAATATATATATATACAATTTGTCAATGGAGGAGTACGAACCATAAGATCCTCCTGATATAATAAAATGTTGCAATTTAAGAGAAACAATACTTAATTAAAATACTTAATATAACAATATAAGAAATGCCGTAGTAGGATTAAAAAAATAGGATTTTTATATTAGAACATATTTGAATCAAATAATAATAAAATAATACGATGATAAAATTATTGTACAAACTTGTTAAACAACTTGCCTATTAATTTAGAGTCAAAACACATCTTATTGTCAACTGTTACAGTTTTATAACATTGATGACCCATAGTTGGTGTACCAGCATAATTTTCTTTACATTTACTACACTGTACCATCCAGCATGGTGACCCACCGGTGTTTGTACCCTTCATAGGTCCAGTAGTACATGTTGGATCACTTTCTGTATTATTACCACAATTACATTTTTCTCCTGTTACAGGATCGCAAGTAAATCCGTGCCCATGGCATTCACAACTAGAAAAATAAATAAATAAATAATGTACGAATATTATTTATAATATCTTAGAAAATAGGAAACAAAATTTAAATGATAATACTAACGGTCGACATACGTCACGAAGATCTTCCGTTCCTCTAAAATAACCAGTCATACATTCGCCACATTTATCACCTTTTGTATTATTTCCACAATTTACGCATTTTGCTTTTGCTACAGGACCTTCAACTAATTGTTTTTTCAATAATTCTATAGACATCTTATCAATTGAATACGGATCCTGTAAAAGAATAATATTCGTTTCTAATAACGTAGATATTAATTATCATTTCCAATTGCATTTTCAATGTGAAAAATAAATTACCGGTACAGTCATGCTTTCATTAATGCATATTCGAGTATGCCCATTGCAATACTCAAGACATGGAACACATTGTCCATTGTCTGCTGGATTCCCAACAAATAAAGGTAAACATTTGTCACATTGTGGTCCCATTGTGTTATTATGGCACTCCAAGCAAACATCTAATTTATCTGGGCCCGCACAATTGCTGTGACCATTACACTGGCATTGAATTGAACAATTGGCACCTACGTAACCGAAGTCACAACGGCAAACATTTGGTTCTACGCACGTTCCTCTAACGCAACCTTGCGTACACATAGGAACACAAATTTTTCTAAAAATAAAATAAATTATATATATAATAAAAACATTATAAACAACAGAAATAGATAACTCAAAATTTAATTAATCCTTACCTGCCGAATTCATTAAATGATGATGGACTGAAATAAATACAAAATAATTAATAAATTGTCTATTTAACAAGATTGACCAGAAAAAAAAAAATAAAAATTACGTTTCAGTTTTATATCCGTCTCCACACATGCATTCGAATCCTTCTTCTAAATCAAAACATTTTTCACTTTTCGGAGAACACGTATGATGTCCATTCGTACATTCATTTTCCGGTGGACATCTTACATAGTGCCAAGAAAATTCTGGTTTCGATATTACATTTGGGATTAACATTGTAACATTATCTAGGGTTTCCAAAGATTCTAAATAATATGGGAATAATATAATTATGATTGCTGCAATTCTTCAAATGAACATTAAGAACGTGAAAATTAAAATTAAATATAAAATTAATATTAACACTAGAAAAACCGGCTATTTTTGGAAGTTACTTTCATCAATAGAAATCAGTTCTATTAAGAATTTACGAGTAGAAATATAAAATGATATTCAAATAATTTTTTTTATCTATTATATGTTATATTTGCTTACGTGGTTCAGTTTGAGGAAATTGTTGATAGTATAACATTTCACATGTTCCACCAGCTGGATGATCTGCTGGTGCTTCAAGAGAACCTTCGGTACATATTCCTTGTCCAGTTATGTTAGCTGAATCGAGAGAACACCATCCGCAATGTGAGTGTTTTAAACATGTGCTGCATTGTTTAAAAACTGAACATGGTTCTGGACAATGATCCATATCAGAACTACGTAATACTAAACCACACACACCACCAGCACAATATAGAGGTTGATATGATGGAGAAATACACTGGAATTTATCAACAGATTATAAGATTTCAGTTATTTAGTTTCAATTTTACAAAAAAAAAAAAAAAAAAAAA